TCTTCTTCTTAGGTCTTCTGACAAGCCTTGATTTATCAAGTTGGGTGAAAAATTTGGTTCATTTACCAGTTGGCTCTATCTCTTTATTTGGCATTGTGAGTATTGCTCTGTAATAATATGTGTTATTTGAGCTTCATTTCTTTTTTACAAAAATTTGAAGTAGATTTTTTTTTAAAAAAGATTTTATTTATTTATTCATGAGAGAGAGGAGAGAGAGACAGAGGCAGAGGGAGAAGCAGTCTCCATGTGGGGACCTGGACATGGGACTCGATCCCGGGTCTCCCAGGATCAGGCCCTGGGCCAAAGGCAGTGGTAAACCGCTGAGCCACCTGTGCTGCCTGAGGTAGATTTAAAAAAAAAAACAAAAACACAATGCAATAGAAATAATTGTGTGTGTGTGCATTCTTTAAGATAGAAACAAGAAGAATATGCCAACCATAAAAGTCATAAAATTATTGAATTCAACGTAAAATTCTATTCAAACCTTTCTAGCGAGGATGAAGAAGGATGTGTGATAAATATTTGATTCCTCTGATAGAAAGAAACACACAAGTTTATGGTGGGAAAAAATTGTATCCTAATACCAAATACTGTCAGAAAGTCTTACCTGGAACATTTCATAGGGAATAATGAAAAGCGATGTCCTCTAGAGTAATATATAAAAAAGTACAGAAATGCATTTCTTATGGTGGCAGTGAGTAAAATTTTAATTTTATAAAAATTGCTAGCAAATAGCTAATGTGATGCATTCTATCCCTTCCCCCTGCCCAACTTTATTCAGGAATAGACATGAGACTAACGAGATCTTTAGGTAGACACAATTTTTCTCTAACTTCGTAGTTGGCAAACTAGGGCTCTTGGGTCCAATCCACCCTGCCACCTGTTTTTGCAAATAAAGTTTTATTGGAACACAGCCAGACTCATTTGTCTGCATATTATCTATGGCTGCTTTCCTGCTACCAGTAGCAGAATTGAGTAGTTGCGATAAAGACCATATGGCCCACAAAACTCAAAGTATTTGCTGTCTGACCCTTTCCAGACAATGTTTGCCACCCCCTTCTCCAAATTATCATTCCTTAAATTACTAACTTTATATTTACTCTCAACATATTTTTAAATCCCACCCTCACTTTTATAGCACCTTCAAGTATAAGCCGAAGATGTAATGGGCACAATGGTCAGGAGGAGGCACTTGGCCAAGGCGATTCATTATTGTCCTTATTCAGGAAGAAAATGTAATCGCATTCTGTACACTCTTCCTACCCAGGAATTTCATCACCCAAAGAAAAAACAACCTAAGAACACAAAGATATCCTGCATTCTGAATTAGGGAGATTTTCTGTTCATCTCAGCAACATACTCCTTCCTTTTTGCTCTGCTCAGAAGGTGGCTCAGCCTTTTGTCATTCACCCCTCCCTTAGTCACCTGGTCTTGGCAGTGCTTCCTGGACTCTCAGTGAGCAGGCCATAGGAATCCTGTGATGGCATCTTTCTCCTCATCTGGACCCAAGTTCTAGTCAGCTCTATAATTTTTTGCAACTTTGTTTCCACATAGACCCAGTACTGAATTCCTCTCAGCTCCCTGATATTAAGTCATCTTTGTTAAAAAATTTTTTTTTTTTTAAGGACTGGTTAACTGAACTGTCACAATTCCCAACTGGTAATATGTTCCAGTGGAAAAATCACAGAATTTAGAGCCAGAAGTCCTGTTTTTGAATTCCTAACCTTGATACTTACCAGATGAATGACCTTGGGCAGGTTTCTTAAACACTGAGACTCAGTTTTCTCATCTGCAAAACAAAGATACTAACAATGCTTGTCATCTCTACCTATTAGGATCAATGCTAAAAACAAATGAGATCTGTGAAAATAATTTATAAATTACAAAATAATACACACATGCTCATTATTGTCACCAGTTCTCAAAGGTTCCCTCGATGATTTTTTCTAATCTTCAATGGCTTTTCACTTGTGTTCAGGAACCAGTCCATGAATTCTCCATTGTAGCCTCTTTGCGGAAGGGCCTCATCATTTATTAGCATCTGTCTTCTCTGGGAATGTACTGCTCCTCCAGGGACAGTCACCCTTTACAAAGAATGTAGGACCTGAATGTCTCAAAGTTGAGCTGTGGATTTTGACAATTTGAGGGTGGTGTCAGAGAGAGAGAATGCTCCTTTTGCTTCTCCCTAATTCTGTGTTATCTTGACCTGGCCTCCAAAGCAATCCTGATTATGCTGAGTCTCATATACTCTTCAGTGAACACTTTCTTTAATTTCTTGACCCATTCATTTTTCTGAGCTTAAAGCCAGAGCATAGAACAAAAGTGGGAAAGGGGATACAAGTGCACCTAAACAAATACAGCCCATTAGCTTTGTATCTCCCATCTCTGCTCTTAGGATCTAAATCCCTACTCTGAATTCCTTCTTTCATGAGATTTTCTTTGTCCACCTCTTTACTTCACCTCACTCCTCCCACCATCTAGGAGGAAAAATTGGCCATTGGATTCATCCCATTTAGAACACAGATAGGATCACTTAAGAGTCGGTAGGGTCACTCTTTATTTAAAAATATCATCGTTTGTGAGGTCCTTTATTTTTTTTTCTTCATTTAGATATTGTTTCAAGCATGTGTATAATTTTTTTCTTCCATCTCCAGTACCATGGAGCCAGCCCAAGAATGGTCAGATTGTGAGATCTGGATTGAGTCAGGAGTGGTAGAGACCCTCATTAGCTGTTAGGGCAAGTTGTCCCTCTCAACCCAGCCATACTAGAACTCTGTACTGGAAATTGGACTAAACAAAATCAAATTAAAAGAAAAAAAAAAAGGAAAATTTTTTTTGCTCTTTGCTATTGCCTCCTTTGTGAATATTTCCTCCAAGGCTCTCATAGAGAATATCTTTATGCCATTAATAATTCATACAGTTTACATCTATGAACTCACAAATAAATTCCGAACAGTGGTCACTGGCCCACTGTTTTCTGCAAATGGCTAATCTCTACATCCTGGGTTAAGCTCAACTGGGACACTGTGTTATAAACTATAATCTAAATTTTCTTCAATTTTGCACTAACTGCTTTTTACAGAAAGGAAAAATGAGGATTACAAAAAAATGACCATGATATGTTTGCCAGATAAAACATAATTTGCTTTATTTTTCCCCTTTGCACCATTAAGAGATTTATTGTCTCCTATTTATTTTCAGCACTTTTCTTCATTTCTGGGAAGTCTGACCTGCCTAAATCATTATTGCATCTGAACAGAGTTTTGCAGACAGATTTCCAGTAATGGGCTCAAATAATGGGCTCTATTTGGCATTTCAATGGCCCTTTAATGACACAGAGAAGGGCAGTGCTTCTTACATGTTTCCTGAGAAGCAAACATGAGTGACCCCAGAGGCCTAGTAACATAATCTGAAGCAGATCACCACAAATTTAAAAATTCTTGTTATCATATATTATAGAAGATTTGCATTTCATATTATAATATATTTGTATTTCCTTGTATATAAAAATACCAAAATGCTTTAACTGACGTTTCAGACAGATGTACCATTTTTATCCTGGCATGCTTCTGCTGGTTGTTGTTTACTGTTAGTAGGTGGATGCACCCCCAGTCTGAGATTTGGAGGCAGGGAAACTGGATTTGAATCTTGATTCTTTCATTTCTAGACACCTACACCTGGGCAAGTCACTTTTGGAGGGTAGATCCTCATGTGTAAAACAGGCTCTTGTGATATTCGTATCTGCAATCGGGGATTCCTTTCTGTTGAATAATCGTCCAATGTTGAGAAGGAAGGGATGATTAGAACCAATGGGGAGATATGAACCCTAGACCATTTTGAAGATGATTAAGTCCAAACATTTTCATGAAATTTAACTGTTCTCATTTTCTAGAAGTTTCTCTTTATCATATTAGTTCCTTGGGGATGTTTATAGTGTTTCTCCTCATAGGCATGCTGATATTAGGAACATTTCTCATAGGAAATTTTACAGTTGCCAGCTTCAGGCTCCCAGACTCACCCCTAGTGGACCTAAGTTAAAAAAATACTTATCAAGGAGCTTCTCTGTGTCTATCACTTGCCAGGTACTGTGGGTCAGATTGACAAATTGTGAGCTACAATCTACACTTGGGAATTTTTTTTTTTTTAAATCCTGAGTACCAGGATCATAGACCAATTTAATCAAAGTATGTATTAGGTGGTACTCAGGCATCAATCTTTTTATTCTTCTTCTTTTTACCTTTTTAAAACTTTTTTGGTGATTCTATTATACAGCCAAATTTGAAAACCAGTGTGTTATATTAGTGATCTAAAAAAGAGTGGATCTTGTTCAAAAGGCAAATTCTTATCTATTCAGATTTATGGAATCAGATTCTTTTAGCAAAATCTGGGGAGAATTTGTAGGATATTAAAGCTTGAGAAACACTGTGTTAGAACGCCCTGCTCTACTTATTCTCAAAGTATGGTCCTCTGACTATAATCAGAGTTGCTTGGAAATGTTTTCAAAAGGCAGATTTCAGGGCCCAGGCCCAGCCTACTAAATCAGAATCTTATGATGGAAGTGCATGGATATTTACATCCTTACAGAATTTTATAGATAATTCGTGGCTTACCCGAATTCATATTTATCAGTTATCAACACCACTGCCCTTCCTTAGAATCATCTACTTTCTTTTCCACAATTCCTCTTCACCAACTGCCAAGTCTTCTGAGTTCTGCCCATAAGATCCAGGATGGGAAGGATGATAATTTTCTATTTTTAGCCTTATGTGTAGTTTCGGCTTGTAGTTGCTTTAAATAGAGAACTCCTCCTGAGCTTTCAACTGTTTTGTTTGCAGATCATTAATTACTGAACATGGATGCTCTGGAGCAGAGAAATTTTCAACTTAAATGATAAGAACTGATCTTGGCTGAAGAATGCCAAACCTGAAAACTAGGACTCCCTAAAATAAGTCAACATATGGTTCAGTTGATAGAGCTCCAATTCCTATTGATCTTTTCAGGAATCATATCTACTGTGTGAGGAAAGCTGCCTGTGGCACTGATCTAAATGATAAATGGAGAGAAGTCAAAAGAGACAAGGAAAGGAATATGCAGAAGCAAGAGGATGTTTGGGAAAAGACTGTAAGTCATGTAAGTGCTTTGGGCAAGGCCTGGTTGGGGAGTAGTCTTTAGTCCTGCTGATATCTTCACAAGTTTATGAAGAAAGAGATTGCTCTTTATCTAATAGATCTAATAGATCTTTTTGATTAAAGAGAATAAAAATCTCGTTCTTTCCCAATTTCCTTTTTCTTTCTCTTGATCTCTCACCAGTCTTCCACTTGGTTTTGGAAGGGTGACTTACATGGCTGCCACCAGAAGCTGATTGTAAAAGCTACAGACATCATAGCTTTTGTGCCTACTATTTTTTGCCCCTATATCATATTGTCCTATTCCTTACATCCTATCTCTCACAGGAATTTGTTGAACACTAGTTCTGCTGGAGAACTAGAAGTACAAGATGTGAATGTGGAGCTCCCTGGCCTGGCCCTAATGAAGCTTGTCTGAGGAAAATATAGTTGACCTTTGAATAGTATGGGATTGAGCGGTATGGGGCCACTTACATGTGGATTTTTTTTTTGCAATAAAAACAATACCATAAATGATTTTTTCTTCTGTATGATTTTCTTTTCTCTAGTATGTATTACATACAACATATAAAACATGTGCTAATTGACTGTTCATGTTATGGATAAGATTTCAGGTCAACAGTAGGCTATTAGTAGTTATAGTTTTTGGTGAGTCAAAACTTATATGTGGACTCTGAACTGTGGGAAAGGGGGTTGGTGCCCATAATCCCTGTGTTAAGGGTCAACTGTGTATGTGTAGGTGCTCCAGGAGAAAGGGCTCTATGCTTTGCAGGTGGACAGGAGGAGAGCCTGGGCTGAGGAAGGAGATGGACAGATCCATTCCTCATTTCTCTGTGAACTGCAGGGCACAGAGCCAGCTCACCACTTTCGTTAGAACTTTCCTGCTCCACTCTTTTCTAAGTGGGCATGAGGGATGTAAGTGCAAAATCCTGTATATTAGGAACAATCTGGGTATATCCAGACAAAACTACATGTAGTGGAAGACACTATGGTTTACATGTTTGGGGGGACAGAGCCCTGGGCCTCTGTTTCACTGCGGATATCCTAGTCTGCCATACTTCTGTGAAGCACACTGCACCAAGAGTAGGGTATCAGTGAGCTAAAATCCTGGGACACACTTGGCCACAGGGCTCTAAGTCCTGGGAAGTGACTGCAAATCTCACAAAGTGACTGAAACACAACAATTTGCAATAGTTAGACAAAGGGGTCCCTAGTCATCATGTTAGAATTGAGAATTTCTAGACCCTAGGAAGATATATGAGAAGAAGGTAGCATGGTAACTAGAAGCTTGGAATGTGGAGTGAGGTGAACCTAACTTCATACCTTCACTCTATCCCTTTATCAACTATTTGGCTCTGGGCAATTATCTGATCTGTTGGAGCCTCTGTTTCTTGCTTTCTGAAATGGTTATAATACACACATATGTACATACTTTATAAGGCGATTGTAAAGAGTAAATGAGGCAGTATCTTTAAAAGACTTAGTAGAGTCCCCAGTGCAAGTTGAATAAACAATAATAAATCAGTATTCTCCTTCATGGTAGTTGTAGTTTTGGGGTAGGTAAAAATGGAAGTGGGATGGAGAAAATATGTCTGGGATGTTCTGGTGTTTATAGGAACAATGACCAAAGCAGGGGCTCAATTTTCCATAACCAATAGAACTATAACACACAAGGGTAGGCAGAAATTCGGCTACCCTATACAGGCACCCAACCAGGGAAGGAGGTGGCTAGGGTCATTTGTTGCCGTCCATGGCAATGTGTCCTGAGACACTGACATCCTTCTTCAGGAAAGCATTGAGTGCCAGTGAGCCATCCTGAAAAGTGCATAGGGACTTAGGTTTAAGGGTGATCTCTGTACTCTACTAGCCTTGTGACAGGTTCAAGTTACTTAACTTATAAACCAAGGGTTGGGGAAGAGGAAGAGCTTATCTTTCAGAGCTAGAGTGAAGGAGCCTAGAGAGTGCCTGGTGAGTGGTCGAAATTCAGAAAGTGTTAGCATGGGTGGGGCTGAGCCCATACACAGCACTTAGTGGTTCAGACCTTAGGGAGAGAAGAGATACAGACAGAAGCCTGAGAGGCAAGGAGGGTTGGCTTTACTACTTAGGAGTAAATTAAAAATTAGGCATTATTTTTGTACTTTCCAATGCTTTACAGGGTTCTCAGTACATGTAGCAAAAGTTGTCAATTACTGTATACCTCCTCCTTGAATATACAGACAGCTTGGATTCTACACTGTGCTGAAGGCTACTTGCAGTTCTGAGTATGTTTCCCTGTGCACTGGGTACATAGCTTCCAAAGTGGTCCTTCATCTGCACTGCCTCCTGAGTTCAGTTCCTAGAATATCCTATTAAGGGCACTGTACTAAGGAGCAGCTTTCTTTTCTTTCTTTCTTTTTTTCCCCCCCAGCTGACACAAGGGCTTAACAGATTAATTCATTAGTCCTTAATATCTTTTCCTTCTAAGGCCTGGTTCAAGTCAGTGCTCTTTGATTAGCGCTATCTTTTCCAGGACTGTGCTGAGCTGTTTTGCATCTCAGTTCTGCTCGGCATTCTTTCCAGAGAGGGAGGTGAAAAGCTTAAAGAAAAACAAAGAGACTTGTAAAGTTTGTAAAATCACATCATCTAGTGATAAACTTTTTCAAACGTGCCATGTTTTCTGACTGGGCAAATATAAATGATCAATTTTCCACACAAGCAATTTATTTAAGAAGGGAAATACATATATGCATGTATATAAATACCACTGCTGGTGGGTGCTAAAGAACATGGTTTATTTCAGCAATAGGTTCTTAAAACTTAGTAGTTTTACTGAATTATTGGTGCAATAAACCTTATGGGTTTGTTACAGCATTAACTGCCCACTGTTTACTTCAAGCTGTTAATCAATACACCAGCCATTACTGCTGGCAACTTATAGTATTTTGAGGATTATTATTAATGTTTTTAGTTACAATTTCTTTCTGGCTTTTTCCCCCCTTATTTTTTGGCTGTATTTAGCAAAGAGGGAGGAATCTGTAGCTGATCAGATGTGCTATCACATGCAGAGTATCCTTGGAATTTAATAGGCGAAAGAAGATTTACCTAGAGAAAACATTTCTTTAAATCAACCAGCCGGAAAAATAATATCCTTCTTAATATTGAAGAAGGAAAAGTGAAATGTGAGTGTCTCATATAGTAGCTCTGCTGCATACATACGTTTTCTTCCTAGGCGCCTAGTTGGTAAATGCCAGTGAGAATGGTAAATGGTTGATGATAAAACCAGCCTTCCATGAATCTCTGATTCTCCGTAGTACAATTTGAAGGCATGCCATTTCTAGGAAGCATTCCCCAAAGATGTGATCTTCTGAACCATGGAAGTTTTTCTTGTTCTAATATTTGCTTTTTTTTATACGTGAATATTTGGCTCTGTTTCTTTCCATGCACTTTGGCATGGTCTCTGTTAGAATAACATGTAGTTGATGCTTAGCTTGGGGTCATGATGACTATCAAACTGCAAATCAACAGGGCAAGAAAAAAGACTTTGCAGCTGCTGCTTGCCAGAGAAGCCTTTCTGATCCTAGAACTTCACGGCTGAGGGCAGCAAGTGTGAGGGCCATTTCTAGTTGCAGGGAAATTTCCCCTTGAAGAAACCTTTGGTTCATGTACATGTGCTAGATCTGTGTGATGGTGTTCTCTCTCTAAATCTAGTGAATGATTAAGTACTGTTCTAGTTGCAGTACATTCCTTGCCTCCTCTGCCTCTTTATTTCAGAACTTAATTCAAAAGCTTAATTCACTTAAGTGGAGGAGGTGCCACAGGATAATTCATTTCTTGCCATTTTGGAAACTGAAGTGCTAACTCTTTGAATAATAACATTAAGCAGTTGGTTTGGAAATTGTCCACTTGATATTTCTTGGTATTGATGGTCTCCATTTCCAGTGGGATTTAGGGAGCTACTGTAGCTTTTAAACAAAGAACAGCTCTATCATGCATTTAGGGACCTCAAAATTAAAACTGCAGATGAAAAAAATTATTGTTTTTTATCATTTCCTAAGTTATCCTTTCTTTGTTCTTTAGTCTTAGGTTCAATGGCCCTGAATGGCTATACATAATTTCTTTTAGAATATATTTGTTCTAGGGATCCCTGGGTGGCGCAGCGGTTTAGCGCCTGCCTTTGGCCCAGGGCGCAATCCTGGAGACCTGGGATCGAATCCCACATCAGGCTCCCGGTGCATGGAGCCTGCTTCTCCCTCTGCCTATGTCTCTGCCTCTCTCTCTCTCTCTCTCTCTATCATAAATAAATAAAAATTTAAAAAAAAGAATATATTTGTTCTATAAATACATATTTTCAAATATTTTAGGAGACAAATTTTCATTTGTCTTCATCAGCCATTTAACTAAAAACATTAAATACATAAATAAATACTATCAATAATAAATTAACGATGAATAAGTCTTAAAAGGCAGAAGTAAATTGCTCCAATTTAGAGTTAATTTTGCTAATAGGAGATAAGATTAATAATGAAGGATGGAAACCAGGCACTTAAGAAACCCACATAAAGATGAAAAATAATGCTTATGTAAGTACAGCATATCCCCAGCTGGAAGGGCAAAAGAGGAGTGGAGGGAAGTAAAAATCAGTGTCTAATATCTTCAGTTTATAGACTTAATACATTTTGAAGAAAATGCCTCAGTGTGCTTCCCAAGGGATGGAACACAGACCCAATGTCAGATGCCTAAAGGAAATGGCAGATTGTCAGGTGGTGAAGAGTTCTCAGCACTGAGGTTTTGCATGTTGCCAGTTTGTTCCTCAAGAGATCACTGATCCACTGAACTTTTTGTAACCTTTGACGTGCTGTGTCTCAGTTTCTCCATCTGTAAAAAGAAGATACTTGATCACACGGAGTCTTTGAGGGTGTTGAGTATGTTAACTCTATAGCTTATTATATGATCTTAGTTTCACAAATTCATTAGGAACCATCTAGTATTTACCTGATTTGATCTTAAAGACCAAGATTAATTTTAAGCCTTTCCACCTGTCATCTAACCCTATTTTCTTCCTTGAGCTCTTCTTTGCTCTTCTGCTTGGCAGGTGTTTCCACAATGGTGGCATAACCCTTAACTATCTCTTGGAGTACCATAGATGGTATGTCCAGGTAGCATCTCCTTTATCTCTTTCTGTTTTGTTAACTGGTTAATCTAAACTCTATATTTAATTGCACTTATATTTTGGACTCTGATAATCTGAGATAAACTTACGTACATCCTCTTTAAATCAACCAGAGATATGATTAAAGTTGGCTGAGATCTTCAGCCTTTCAAAAGAGTTTTAAATGTGTTCAAATAACTCTGCCAAAAAATGTGTTGTTAATTATCTATTCTGAGTATGTGAGGTTTACTTTCTCATGCAAATTTCAACAATAAGCAGACATACGAAGTAGGTGTGCACAGAAAAAGAATATTTT